CGTCACCGAATATATTTGATGACGAATTTTGAGTGTCACAGAGTTTGTCACTGTAGCCGCGTCATATTAGGTCTAAATGACAAATTTTAAATTTTGTCATATAATGTTTTGAATTTGTGACAAAAAATTGTATTGTCATTGTATATTTGCGAGATTTGGTGACGATTGATGTGTCACATTTGTCATGAAATTTTTGTCACAAATTATGTATATTTGTCACTAAAAGTTAGCCTTTATATGACAAAAAATAGTATTGTCATTGTCCTTTGTGAGATTTGGTGACTATTGATTTGTCACATTTATCATGAAACCTTTGTCACAAAATTATCTATATTTGTCACTAAAAATTAGCTTTTATATGACAAAAAATAGTATTGTCATTGTCTTTTGTGAGATTTGGTGACGATTGATTTGTCACATTTATCATGAAAATTTGTCACAAACTTATCTATATTGTCATTAAAAGTTGGCCTTTATATGACGAGAATTTATGGTTTCGTCGTCTTAAAATTCACATATAATGACAAAACAAGAGTTGTGCTATAGTTACAAAAAAATACTTGTCACCAATGAAATATTTATAATGACGAAGAAAAATGTCACTTGAAATTATGTTTTAATGATGAAATATTCATTGTCACCAGATAAATAAATTAAAGGTGACGATATCTTTAGTCATAGAAAGATTGTATTATATGACATTGTGTTTATCGTCACCAAATATATATAAAAATGTGACGATATATTTATGCTAAATGTGACGATATTTATATAGTCACTTTAAAGAAGTTTAGTGTGACAAAATATTAGTCATAAATAGGCCATTTTATGCCACAATATTTGACCATATTATTAGTCATAGTTTAGTGTGTCACGAAATATTGCTTTAAATAACAAATTGAAAATTATCATAAAAATACTATTGTAATTAGCCAGTAAATTAGATAATGACATAATATATTCGGTGAAATAAAAATAAATGATTATATATAAAAGGAATTATATAAAATATTCATAATTAAAACCAAAAACAACAGTACTTGAATATTAAGTGAAAAATACTAAATAAACACGTAAGAAACAAATCTCCAAATCCATAGGCTTATTTTCTAGTTTTGCTGAAAAGTCTCGATATATCCATCAACATCAAAGAGAACAATCACCTGTAAACATAAAACATTTGAATCAACACATATATTTACATTTATCAAAGCATATTTTCACAAATAAAAAAAAAAAAACCCATTGATTACATCAAATTGTTTACCTCAAGTATTTCCTTTGGAAGCCATGAATGCCTTAAGCTTTTCAATATCTGCACCTTGTTGGCCCAATAAGTTCTTCAAGCCACTAACTTCTTCCTTGAGCTCACTCACTTGTGATTCTGACGCTTTTAGTTTTTCTCGAGTTTCTTGAAGCTCTTTTTCCTTTTGAAGACTTTGGTTGGCTGGAGCAAAAATGCCTTTGTTTAACTGATTTGTCTGATAACCAAGTCCCTTCAGATAAGTCGATCTTGGACCAAGCACCTCGTGAACAATTTCTTCATTCGTCTTATGAGCTCCTTCCGCTACATATTTTTCTCGCCTCGATACCATCAACTCCTGATGGATTACAAATATATATCATGCCTATCTAAAAAATAACAATACCAATACCAATATGAAAGTGTGAATTACCCAATTTTCTTTTGCCTCATTATTTGACCAACCATGTTTGTCAGTGGAATGTGTGAGTTTGTAGAACTCAATTATGTCCCCAGCATCACCATTAGCATCTCCATTAGCATCTTCATTAGCGTCCCCATTGGCAGTATTCTTCTGAGCCTAGTCAAGAATAGAAATAAAAATGAAATGTACAGGATATGAACCTATTAAAATATTATGATTATTTCTCCATGGCGTAATATGTAAATATTTTAAAACATAATCGCATGTTTGGAACTTACAATTTCATGTTGAAGTGTAGAAAAAGGAGTTCTGCCAGATATATGCGGGGTCCTTAACATTTGTCGATTCATAGAGTTAATTGAACTTTGATGCTGAAAACAAGAAATTGCAACATAAGAAATATTCGCATAACATTTCAATGAGAGTACCAATCTCTAGAGATTTTACCTTGAACTTAGCTGATGCAAAATAATCACAGAGTTCGTCCCAATTTTCTTTACTAGCACAAAATGGTGGCTTATTATTCTTAGCCTCTTGCAGGGTTGCATACTTCTTGTAATGCTTATGCAACCTGTGACGAACTTGTCGAGAACTAGATTTCATCTTATCAACCAAGCAATGCCTCACACCCGCTGCATCCAAGTTAACATCCATATGAATCTGAACATCACATTTAACATATTTTTACA